TAGGATGAATGTAAAACTAATGTTCTCCCATGTAAACTATCACATAATTCACAATAAAACATTAAAAAAAAAAAAAAAAGAAGAAACAGCTGTAAACATTCATTAATAATTGGAACATGGAATGTATCAAATATGAATCTAGGAAAATTGCAAATTATCAAAAATGAAACAGAACATATAAACATCAATATCCTAGGCATTAGTAAGCTGAAACGGACTGGTATTGGCCATTTTGACAAATGTAAAAGGAATGGCATCACATTCATTATCAGAAAGAACATTTCAAAACTTATCTTGAAGTACAAAGCTGTCTGTGCTAGAGTAATACCCATGTGCCTACGAGGACAACCAGTTAATACAACTATTACTCAAATTTATGCACCAACCACTAAAGCGAACAATGATGAAACTGAAGAATTCTGCCAACTTCTTCATTCTGAAATTGATCAAACACACAATCAAGATGTATTGATAATTACTGGCAACTGGAATGCAAAGGTTGGAAACAAAGCACAGGGATCAATGGTTGGAAAACACGGCCTTGCTGATACAAAGAAATGATGCTGGAGATTGCATGATCGAATTTTGAAAGATCAATGACTTCATTTGCAAATACCTTTTTCAAATAACATAAAAGATGACTATACACATGAACCTCACTCGATGGAATACACAGAAATCAAATTGACTACATGTGTGGAAAGAGATGGTGGAAAAGAGTCCTACCATCAACCAAAACAAGGCCAGGGGCAGACCGTGGACTAGACATCAATTGCTCCTATGCAAGCTCAGGCTGAAGTTGAAGAAAATTAAAATTAGTACACGAGAGCTAAAATATGACATTGAACATATCCCACCTGAGTTTAAAAAGCTTCTCGTGAATAGATTTGATGCATTAGACACTAAGGACTGAAAAGCAGAAGAGTCGTGGGATGATATCAGCAACAAAAATGTCAGTTTGAGGACTAAGGTGTGTGTGACCTAAGCCATGGTATTTTCAGTTGCCTCATATGCAGGTGAAAGTTGGACAGAGACTAAGGAGGGCTATAGGAGGACTGATGGATTTGATTTACGGTGCTAGAGGAGAAGATTAACAGTACCATGGACTCCTACAAGGACAAACACATTTGTGTTGGAAGAAGTGCAAGGAGAAGAATGCTCCTTAGAAGCCAGGATGACAAAACTTGGTCTCTCATACTATGGACACATTATCCTGAAGGCCATTCCCTGAAGAAGGACATCATGCTTGGTGAAGTGTACGGTCAGCGAAAGAGAGAAAGACCCCAGCAAGATGGATTGGAACGGTGGCAGCAGCACTGGGTCAACTTGAACAACGACCCCCATCAGTGCTTCACTATGTTTTGCAATAGGCTGAGCAGGTGCAGGCGACATCAGTTAGAATGAACTCAGGACAAGTAGTAACAGACGGAGCCCAGAGAGTCCTATGCAGATGGATTTAGGGACCTCTCCACAGGCAGGTACCAGGATCAGGCAGTGTTTCCTTCTGTGCATAAGGTCGCTATGGGTCGGTACCGACTTGTTGGCACATAACAACAACAACCACGAGGATTTTTACTTTCTTCGCCTCAGTGAAAGAGGATTTTGCCATCAGATTCACCCATGTGAGGTTGTTCTTCAGAACTCAGAGGTAGTAAAGAAGGAAGCAAGAAATATAACTTTTATTGTAAGTAGTTCAAATATTATACAAACTTGATTTGAAAGAAATTTATCTTTTTTTATTATGCCTCCAGGTGAGGCAAACACAAAAACATAATAAATCTACATTTAAACCACCCTTTCCACATGAAGGCAAAATTATTGAAATTCTTTATTTTTCCCCTTGAAGTAACTAATCCATGTAATAGTAACATGGCTAGAGATGACAAATTCACATTGCTTATTCCTTTCACTTAAATCCACAAATCTCCCAGTGCTGTGTCACTGAGGGGCCAAGCTTTCTTGGGGAAAAAATGGCTTTCAGGTCTTACAGGCTCAGGGCCCAGTGTCCTCCACTCCAGCCACCATGTCTTCAACAGCACTCCAGTCCAGCCTGCTGAGGATGCTGCCGGTGCTCTCGGACATGCTGCCTGCACCACTCCCCGCTGCAGAAAGCTCTGCCGCCTCCTCTTCAGACACTAACAAGTCCTACCAACGATAGAGAAGGTCAGTGGTGGTCCTAGCCCCAGAGAAAAAACCACGTGGAACCAGAAGGAAGCTTTTCAAGGTTTCTAGAGTTGCTCTTCCATCACAGAACTGAAGGAAACCAGGGCTGTGGTTTCCCAGCCCAGCTCCATGCTCAGCACTAGATCTGAACAATGGACAGAAAGATTTGTATGTCTGTGCTACAATGACCTGTTCTTATGTTTTTTTTTGTTAAAAAGAATAGACAAAGTTAAGAATTCTTAGCGATAAATGTGGGGTGCTAAGCCAGAAGTGTAAGTGACTTGAATCACTGCTTCAGACTGACCTAACTTTCATTATGTCTATATCCCACAATACCACCAGCCAAATCCCTGAAGAATAGAGGACTCACTAGGCAAACTGAAGTCTGGAATAATACTCACTTGCAGAAGGGAATCATGACTTGCATGAAGAATCTTCTGGATTTCTGAAGGTAATATCCAGGGACTCACCACAGTCTCCTCTCTCTCATATTCGATGCACACCTGCTGGGTCTGAGGTACATGTGGTCCATGACATGGAACAGCAGACCCTTTACAGGGAAAAGACCAAAGCATACACTGGCATTCATTCATTCTTTATTATGGCTTTTACTGACAGAGCTATGGAAGTCAGGTTTTGCTTAACATTTGAAGCACAAAGTCTACATGGTTCCCTTTATGGATCTACCAATTCCCATCACTGTGACAGAGAAACCACATTTCAGCCACCTCTTTTGATTTAAAATTAGTGGTACCCTAAGGGGTCACAGATAAGAGGGAACTGTGAAAAACTCTGACCTCGCTGTCAGTGAACTCAGAGAGCTGGGCCTTCCCTGCTTCTTCTGGAGTGATTTGTGGAAGTTCTTAGGAACAGTGCTTTAGCATCTCTACCCAGGCTTGGAGCGCAGTGGCTCCATTTGATAAGCACTGGACTGCAAACCACAAGGTCAGTGGTTCAAGGCCACCAGCTGCTCTGCAGGAGAAAGATGAGGCTTTCTGCTCCGGTGATGACGGTTAAGAGCCCTAGAAACCCTACACAGGGCTACTGTGAGTCAAAATCAACCCAATAACACTTGACAACAACCACCCAGGCTTCATCCCAACAATCCGTCCTGGGTAAGTGGTGGCATCACATTGTAGCCATTTCCTGCTTACTATGTTGGTTGTTATTGTTGTTATTATGTGCCGTGGAGTTGGTTCCGACTCATAGTGAGTGACCCTGTACAGGGTTTCCGAGGCTCTAAATGTTTACGGAATCAGAAAGCCTCATCTTTCTCCCATGGAATGGCTGGCTGGTAGTTTCGAACTGCCGACCTTAAGGTTTGCACCCCAATTCATAAACACTACGCTACCAGAGCTCCTTTGTTGAGTACTGTAGAGTTGGTTCCGACTCATAGTGACCCTGTACAGGGTTTTTGAGGCTCTAAATCTTTATGGGAGCAGAAAGCCTCATCTTTCTCCCACAGAATGGCTGGTAGTTTCGAACTGCCGAGCTTGAGGTTAGCAGCCTGATTTGTAACCACTCTGCTACTTATTATTTTCTTCTCAGTTAGTGCCCAGAGGCATTTTAGTAAAACCACCAACTAACAGTGTTTCTATGCACAAGACTTTAGAGGCTCTTGCCCCACCTAGTACACTTGATGTAACAAAGTCCTTTCCAAGGTCATTTCCTGAAGAAACATCCAAGACTTTCAGTAAAACAGAAGTGTAAACACAGGCCCCTGAAGACCGAACAAGAGATAGCAGAATGGTGACGTTTGGCTTCACCTACCTTTTATGTGCTTGAAGCTGAAGACACCTTGAAGAAATTAGCCCTGATATCTACAGCAGCAAACGTTTTGGCATTTACTATGGACCAAACACTGTGTAAGGAACCCTGGTGGCACAGTGCTTAAACACTTGGGTGCTAACCAAAAGATGGGCGGTGCACACCTATCAGACACGCCACAGGAGAAAGATGTGGTAATCTGCTTCCAAAAAGACTTCCCAAAAAAAAAGACTCTCAGCCTTGAAACAAGTCCCATGGGGCAGATGTATGCTGCCCTATAGGCTTGCTCTGAGTCAGAAATCAACTTGACAGCAATGAGCATTACTGAAATTCCATCCCAGAGTGCTCCGGGCCTGGATCCTTGGTCCTCTTACACCTCTGTACTTTCCCTAGTGACCTAACCCAGTTTCAAGACCAAGTATCATCTGCATGCTCAAACCTCTAGCTTCATAAAATTCACTGTCTTAAATATTCAACTTCAACATGTCTGAATCCCAACTGTTAGTTTCTTAAACTCATGCTGCTAATCTTCATTCTCATATCAAGAGATGCTCAGGTCGGAATCCAGGGGTCACCCTTCAGCCTTCTTTTCTTACACACTCCACATCCAATCTACCAGCAAGGCCCACTGTGTCTTAGCTACAAAATACATCCCACATCTAAGCACTTCCGCCCATTTGCATTGTTTCGACCCTAAGCAAAGCATACCTCTCTCCTTGTCTGCTTCTGTTGTTTCTGCCATATGTTCTACAAGATACATTATCTCTTTGCTTACTTCTTTCCAGTAGAGTCCCACTAGATCCAGAATAAAATCCAAAACTTTTGCCTTTACTGTTTGTAGGTGCTTTTGAATTGCTTCCAATTCATGTCCAACCAAACAGAACCCTGTCCCGTCCTGTGCTGTCCTCACAGTCATTGCTGTGTTTGAGCCCACTGTTGGACCACTGTGTCACTCCATCTTGTTAAAGGGCTTCCTTTTCCCCAGTAACCTTCTACTTTACCAAGCATGATGTCCTTCTCAAGAGAGTGGCTTCTCAATAAAGCACATGAGACGAAGTCTGGCCATCCTGGCTTCTAAGGAGCATTCCATCTGTACTACTTCAAACAAACAAAAGACCCGTTTGTTCCTTTTTTGGCAGTCCACGGTTTGTCTTCAGTAGTCTTCACCAACACTGTATTTCAAAGGCATCAATTCGTCCTTGTCTTCCTTATTCATTGTCCAGCACTCACATGTAATGTAAGGCACTGGAAAATACCACAGGTGTGTTAGAAGCACGTTAGTCTTCAAGATGACATCTTTGCTTTTTAACACTTTAAAGACGTTTTTGCAGCAGATTTGCCCTATGCAGTATGTCCTTTGATTTCTTGACTGTTTCCATGACTATTGATTATGGATTCAAGTAAAATGAAATTCTTGACAACTAATTTTCTCCATTTATCATGATGTTGCTTATTGGATTGGTACAGTTTTTGTTTTCTTTGGGTTGAGGTGTAATCCATACTGAAGGTTGTAGTCTTTGATGCATTTGATGCACTAGGTGCATTAAGTCCTCTTCACTTGCAGCAAACAACAAAGATCTGTCACCTGCATATCACAGGTTGTTAGTGAGTATTCCTCTAATCTGGATCTAGTCCAGCTTCTTGGATGACTTGTTTAATGCAGACTGAACACCTACAGTTTAAGCTCCTCTCTTCATCCATATCTCTGACCACTTTCCCAATCTTTCTGCCTGCCATACCAAGTTTGTGTCTGTATCATGGCTTTGAACTTACTGTCCCCTCTACCTGGATGTGTTCTGTTTTATCTGTACATGACAATCCGTGGTCACCTTTCGGATCTTCTCTCTCAGGCCACCTTCTACAATATGCTTTCTTTAATCACCGAGCTATAAATAGCTCCCTGAAGACAGCCATCACTTCATCTTATGTACATGCTGCGTTCTGTGCTATTTGTGACTAACAGGGCCTGGTATACAGTAGGAGCTAAATGGATGGCTGTTGAAGGAATACTCTTCATGACAGTCCTGTGGGGAAAGTATTATTAGCCTCATTTTACAAATGAAGAAGATGAGGCTTAGTGATAGAGGGTAAGTAACTTGCCAAAGGTGATGGAGGAGGTCCACCTACACAGCCTAAGCTACTGATGAACCTCCTCTTCTTTGGGGGGGGGGGTGCACAGAGACTAGCACTCAAGGGCCTCTGGGCTCATCATATCTGTAGAAATGGGCCTAGTTATTTGGCTCTCCAAGGCAGGGACTTTCCAAAAAGCTTACTTGCTTCATAGATTAGTGCCAAAGGGTGGGGGTGATAGTATGAGAGAGTTCAGGAGTATTCTTCTGACTAGCCCTAGGGATCTGAAAGGGACATGAGGTTAATGCTACTAGGCAGCACCTCTGGTTGCCACATTGGCATCACTAAGGGAACAGGGCTCTGAGAAAGTCTGACTCTTTTCCTGCTGTTTGAAGACACCACTGAGGACTTTGGGATGCCACTGAAAAGCTCCATTTCAGTAAACAGTAAGAAACAACTTTGAAAATACTTATGAGCAGATAATGGAAATGCACATGTGATCAAATACTGTGGTAAAAAAGAAAACAGCTGTTAAAATAGAAAAAGCAAGGCTGAGAGAGAAAACAGTGAAACCAACACAGGTGGCTAAACAACAACACTATAACCACAGGGCAGACTGACTCTTCAAAGGGACTAAATGAAGGCTGGGCTCGAAATTGTCCCTTCAGGCATTTGGCATCTGATAAGAGATCAAGAACAGCTGTAAACACCAACTAACCCTACCAGCATCTCCACTCCACTCCACTGGGTATCTGGACAGTAGCACTCACCAAATGAACATAATTACTGGCATCCAGAATGTAATACAAAGTCAAACCACCACCAAGTCTGCTGAAATCCAGGTTGACAGTCCTGTATTTCAGGATGACCTGTGGGTTATCTACAGAGCTGGAGAGGCCATCACCAGCTTCCTCTTACCGCGCTTCCTTCTCTGCAGCTTCCAGGGCATTTCTCTAGGTTGGACTTCGGATACCCGACCTTGAGATAAGAATAAGATGAAAAAAATCAATGAAATAGCATGCGCAAAAGATGCCCTGGTAGTGGACAGTCAGAGCTTCCTCAGGTGAAAGTTAAGCGATCTGTATCAAAAGGAAATATCACAGTGGAAACTAGGCCAACAGGTTCATGGGCAATCCTCAGAAAGGATGTATTCTTTCTCTGGGGTTACAGTGCATGCTGCCACTCAGTTTCTTTACAACATATCCTGTGTCGTGTCTACAGAAACTATCCTGAAGAATCGATCTATAAAACTGAATCCATGCAATAATGAGTAATTGTTATCATGATTAGTGTGGCTGTCTCAACTGTAAAGGTAGACGTTTAGTAACAAAAACGAGGGAGTATTATTTAAACTTACAGTCCAGAAACACAGGACCCTAGGACCATCAAGGGAGAAGAGCACAAGTGGAATATGGGACCCTATCCAGAGAAGATGGAAAGCTCCATATCATCAGTGAAAACAAGGCCAGGGGCAACACCATCAATTACTCATATGCAAATTCAAAGTGAAGCTGAAGAAAATGAAAACAAGTCCACATGAGCCAAAATACAACCTCAAACATATCCCACCTGAATTTAGAGATCATCTGAAGAACAGATTTGATACATTAAACACTAAAGACCGAAGACCAGAAGAGTTGTGGGATGACATCAAGAACAT